AGTCAGCGTGATGTCACTGAGCTGTCACGTCAGTATCAGTGATTAATCTGGTTTGGAACACTACCCAACATCCTGATATTAGTGCTCTGCTTTTAGCCTTCATATTCCAACAAAGGGTTAAAATAGCGACATGATTGATTTCATCCAGCTGTGATCAAGCAAAGTAACCCAGCTCAAAAAAGACCCAAAATCCACTCACTATGGTTGTGTTATATCTCTGCTTTTAGCCTTCATATTGTAACAAAGGGTTAAAAAAGCAACTTGATTCACACATCAGAGCGCTCAGCAGACCATACCCTAACCTTCAAAAAACAATGTAAAACGTAAAACAATGTAGTGAGGGCCTAAATGAATAACTTCCTGTCTACATTCCATTTTTTCTTTAAGTTAACACCATGCACTGAAAAAAACATGGTGCATTAATTTACTTGATACAAATACAGGATTTCCTCTTGAATTAATGAAATGCATTGCATCAATTTTGTCTTTTGGTTTAACTATAATTGTGTTAATGTAATATTTAATTAATGTGATATTAATGGATAAGATTAGTTATGTACAGAGAAAAACAAATGTACCACATTTTATGTCATTTTACATTTTATTTAGTTTTTTTTCCTAACAGTGTGCCGTCACAATATAATATCAGGGTGTAACCTGGCCTCCCCATTCTAAACGTTCTAGCTACACCCCTGCTTTCTGCAAAGCGGCTCCAACACACATGCCGCTAATTCTTTCTATCTGTCTCTCTCTCTCTCACACACACACACACACACATATAAGTGTGGTCTGTAAGCAATTACTGTGCTTTCTTTGCTCCGTTTCCTGCCTTTGGTCTCTGCATTTTAAATCAATAAAACATTTCACCTTTTCTTGTCTGGGCAATAAACTCCAGGCTGAAATGGAGCCTATATCTGGCAAGAAACCTCCAGGCTTTTAACAGACAGAAGAAAAAAAACTGGGCTTGGATCTGAATGTAATCTGACTAATGTAAACACACTTTAAGAAATTATGTATTAGGAAGCAACAAACAAATAAACATCTATTGTTTTGTTTTGCTCACCAACACACGCTCAAAAAAAACTGAATCCTGGGCAATTATCAATTATTCAATAACTATTATAAGTGATATAGTATGAAGGTCTACAAAGCTAATGTGTGTCCGTAGATGTCTATAAGGTCTGCAGATCTGAAGTACAGACCAATATACAGACCCTTACAGATAAAGGGATTAAGAAGAGGTCCAGGAAAAAACACATGAAAGGCCAAGAACTACTAAGCATGTGCATGTGGAATCTAAACCGAATGTGAAGCAAAAAAAAAGAAAGTAGGCACTTTTATTATCTACACCTTCTTACCTTTCCTACTCTTCTTACCTTTCCTACTCTAGCTAATTTCCCACCTACCCCCTTCTGCAACCTACTGCCACTGCACTACACCTACACAGCCACACAGGGGCACTAGAGACTGGTACTTCATCATGTATCTGTCCCCTAACTCATACTGTTCATTTATCATTAACAGTGTAAAAAACACATCAGTGTATCAGGATGCATTAATCTAAATGCATGAATCTAGAGGTGGCAATTCAAATGTTGAATGTTAGAACCGAATGTTAGATAGCTACTTTCAACTAGTTATCATTAGCATTGTGTAATAACTATACTGATGCTAACCTGAATAATAAGCCTGCAGTTTAGGGGCTAAATGAAGTAACAGATTACAGAGACCACAGTGTGGATAGTAGCTTTAGATACTGGATCAGCTATAAGAACAGTCCGCACACACATTCATCAATCTGAACACATTGTGCTGTGTTCTGCTGTGTTCCTAGTAAAAAACTAATCCATGTCATCTGTACCCCGACTACAGCCCCACCCAACTGCCAGCAACCTGCTAAGCTCCTTCTCCACTCCATCTCTTTCTCCACCAGAAACATAGAATGGATAATAATATAACTGCATATTTATTTTTGCTGCATACAAAGTATTCACTTCAGTGTACATGTGTTGTTAATGGCCGTATGTACATTCTGGCATAATATATATATTATATTATATTATATATATATATATAATATATTATATATATATATATATATATGAAGACCAAGTAAACTAACAGTTTCTCACTGGCATCTAGAATCAAATCTATGACTAGGTCTGCTTCTGATTCTTGATGTGTTGCTTGCCAAATTTCTACGAGACTACTACCAGCAGTTAAAGTGATAGCATTGGGTCTATTAAGGAATATTTAGGTGACTGAACTGTGATTTGGTGATTCATTTAATATGGATCATCTTACTGAATTGGTTCAAAGTCAAAGATTAGAAAACACATTCTGGGCTTTTAATTAAATTGGACTTTAAACTAAAATCCTTTTGCTTTGAGTGATTCTAAACCTTAACTATGTTCATTCTATTAAAATAAATGATTGACTTTGTAGTTCTTTAATTACCAACTGTAGTCCATCTGTTTTTCTACATACATACTGTTAGCCCACTTTCATCCTGTTCTTCAATGGTCAGAACCGCCATAGGACCACCACAGTGCAGGTATTATTGGGTGGTGGATCATTCTCAGCACTGCAGTGACACTGACGTGGTGGCGTGTAAGTGTGTGCTGGTACGAGAGGATCTGACACAGCAGCACTGCTGGAGATTTTAAACACTGTGTCCACTCACTGTCTACTCTTTAGACACTCCTACCTTGTTGGTCCACCTTGTAGATGTAAAGTCAGATATGCAGATATTGTAGATATGCTTATTATTAAAAATGTCTAATTTACATAGCTATTTTTTTAAATTTACAGTGTCTAATTGTACTCCCTATGCTTTTGCTTTCCTTTTACTGCATTAATGTTGATTTGTATATATTCTATTAAAAAAAAAAACAAGATGAATGATTTTAAACAATTGACTTCAGTGCACAACACTTGCACACTACTGTATACAGTTATATACAAAGGGGAAAAAATATCAGGGGGAAAAAACACAAAATGTGGCCTGTGCAAAATTTATGCCACATTTTAGATTTAATAATATGTCAAACTAAATTAAATAAATAAAAATTGTGCACTAAAACTTTCAGAAAATGCCTATTTAATTTTGTTTTCTGTAGTGGACATGTTAACTTGTTAACATTTAATTTGGCCATGGGTGTTCAAACATTTGCATACAACTGTGTATTCTCTGTGACAGGCAATCCAGGCAATATTTTTAAAAATGTTGTAGTGTTCGCTGATGATCGCTGCTCTTCTACGTATTACAGCTTCTGGAGGCAGAAGCACTTGAAAAGATAAAACATATAAATGTCAGTAAAATCCACCCAAAACATTAGAAATGAAGCATGACTTGACTTCTACTACCACCAGCCAGACACGTACTTCAAGTCAACGGAAAAGTTTATCAGTGCAATCAAAGCCCCGCAGACTGTGAGGTGCATGTCATGCTGGACATCAAGCAACTTTGCAAGGGTTCAAAATGGCCTGCAAACTGAGAGTTGGCTGACAAGATAAAGTCATATTATGACATCAAATTTAGGATTTCATAATTTCTAATAAGGAATAAACCCAGATTTAGACATTTTACCTTGATTGAGTTGGAAACTTGTGTAGCTTGAAAAGGTCATTAAGAATAAGGACCTGGGGCAAAATTAAATGTATGACTAAAAATACAGTGCTGCTTGAAAGTTTGTGAATACTTGAGCATTGTGTGAATTTTTGCACATGAGATCAGATCTCAGATCAGTCAAGCAGATGGAGAACATTCAACACCATTGACACGCTTGCCCTAACCTAAACCCAAAACCTAATCCCCGTCTCTAACCCTAACCTTAACCTCAACCCAAAATCTAATCCCTGTCTCTGACCCTAGCCTTAACCTCCACGCAAAACCTAATCCCTGCCCCAACTCTGACCTTAACCTCGACCCAAAACCTAAACGCTGCCCCTAATCTTAACCTTAACCTAAACCCAACACCTAATCCCTGCCCCTAACCCTGACCTTACCCACAACCCCAGACCTAATCCCTGCCCCTAACTCTAAACTTAACCCTGTAGTAATCCTAACATGGTTGAGAACAACAGATCTTTTGTTAATAATGTAAGCATCTATAGATCTTGTTTACTTGCTTCCTATGGTTTCACATGCAGCCTTTTAAAATGGGATCTCATGAGTATTTTCTGGTTCAGTGACTAACCCTATACCTCTCTCTGAAAGGCTCATTTGGTGAGTAGAACTGCTTGCTATTACCATTTAGCTATTAGACAGTGATAGACTACAGCCAGTTTTAATTCTCCATGAAAAGTGAGATTCTGTTAGCTGTGGTAATTTTAGTGTGCAGTTTACATCAGACAGTCTGTGTATGTCTGTGTGCAGAGTGCCTGAGGCTGAAACTTACTGAAATACTACAAAAACCTCTTCTGCAGTGCAAATCTTACACCTCAAACCGCAACATCAACTGCTAGAACCAACCTCTTTTAGCAACCAACCAACTAACTAAATATTTTTCACAGATGTCCAAAACACTCACACTTTTTTGATGTGGTAGTGATGACTAGTTGACTATTTTTTGCTTTGTAAAAATTAATTCAAGCAACATCTACTTTGTACCACACACTTACAGTTAACATCTAGAGCCTGTTTGGCATGCCAGTGTAAATTATTCGGACTACCTTGGAACGTTCCGTGATGTTGATCAAAATTGGAGTTTGCGTCACTAAAGTAATTAAATATTGCGTAATGTTTCTGAAGAAAGATACCAAAACGAATTTATGATTCAGATATAAGTGGAATGCTGTAGCTTAAAGGCAGCCCAAATAAAGCTAATACTATTCAGCTATCTGTCAGCAGTGAAGAAGAGGAGTGTGTCACATGATGGGGGCGGAATGAGCAGAGTGTGTGTGTGTGTTTTTGTGTGTCCTCACGCCTCCTCAGGGCATGTGTAGAGGAAGAAGCAGTAGGCGTTAAGTGAAGCTGCATGGACAGAAGCAGTCATTCCAGCAGGTGAATCAGGCAGGTGAATCAGGCAGGTTAGACAGACAGGTGAAACTATATAGAGCACAGTGAGGGTAGAGCGCAGATGTGAGTAGGTGCAATGAGTTACCTGTTGATTTTGATCCTCCTGAGGCTCCTGCCTGTGACACAGCAGACCAGTGATGTTCTCCCGAAAGAGACCAGACCAGCTGGAGTTTCAGCCCCTGGAAACTTTATCATTGGAGGACTTTTCCCCATCCACGAAGATGTGGAGAAGCCCACCCACCTGTCCCAGCCACAAGATTCCACTTGCATTAGGTGAGTACCACAGATTCATGTCTGAAGCTTATTCAAGTGACAGTTTGGTGTGATATTCTCTCTCACTCCAAACGTTAGCTTAACCAAGATATATTTGGTGTCCAAAGTTTCTTCAGTGTAGAGCTGGAGTTATAAGGCTATTGTAGCACACAAGTGATTTTAACTCACTAGTTAGCATCATGCACATCATCATTTAAACCATGTCACATTGTTAAGTAATCAACTAGTTTAGTAATAGACCAGTTTATGTGGTTTCAGACACTATGCCATACAGTTATCTATAAAAAAAAAAGGTCCCTATTATTATTTCGATTGTTTTTAGCTAGGTGATGTATTTTTGTCCATTTAGTAAATACGTCATTGATTTAAAGATTTAAGTAATTGCTTTTAAATAAACAAAAATGTCTTTAAAGCAATCTTAAATCAATACTGTAATGCTTAAAATATGATAAAGTTCCAAAAATATTTCAAATACTGATCCTTAAAATGAAGTGTGAAATGTGAAAAAAAAAAAGTGAAAAAGAAGCCACACGTGATAGATTTTTTTAGCTTATGGAGCAGACATGTTGTGTTAGATTGCTTGATGAGTGTTGTGGACAGTTATTCACTGATCTTTGCTTTTGTCTCTGATTGGCTGCAGCTTCAGCACAGCTGGTCTGATCAAGTCACTGGCCATGATCCACGCTATAGTGACAGTGAATAACTCTCCGTTACTGGCCCGTCTGGGGGTTACCCTGGGCTACAAGATCCATGACACATGTTCAGATGTTACGACTGCTCTGAGAGCCACTGAAGACTTCACACAGGACGACTGCTCTTCCACAATGGACCTTACCAACATGGCTGAATGTACCCAACGTAGCATAGCTGTAATCGGTGCACATTACTCTGAAATGTCCATCGCAGTGGCCAGAGAGCTAAACTTGGAGCTAATTCCACAGGTACGCTGTCACTGTTACAGGACAAAACTCCTGTCTGCTAAAAAAAATCAGATTTTTAATGCAAAAGACGACACTTCAAAACTGGAAACTGAAGGAGAGAAATCTACAGTAGTACATGAAACTGTAAACATGTGCAAGTGAATAACAATAATAATACTGTGCTAAAATTCAATCTGTATTTTAATTTTTCATTGATTTAGTTGTAGAAAAATATTTTGAGACATCCATTGAGAAATATGTGACACACAGTTGGTAAGCCTGTCAGACTCTTGATTTAGAGAAGAAAATGTATAATTATGTATCATCAGCATAGTTGTGAAAATGTATCTCATCTTTCCTGATAATATTACCTAGTAGAAACATTCAAATAGAAAAGCAATGGCCCTAAAATCAAACCTTGTGGGATTCCACAGGAAATTTTTTGATTAATGATTTTACACATGGTTGTTTTGTACCTGATAAGATGACACTGTGCTAAAAAAGAAGTGCTTATTATCAGATTTCCCCAAATAGTAGAGCTCTTCAATTCTAATTTGAAATACAATAATAACATACTTGTTTGTCTGTCCACCACACAGGTCAGTTACGCATCCACAGCTGATATTCTGAGTGATAAGAGCCGTTTCCCAGCCTTCTCTCGGACCGTCCCTAGTGACTTGCACCAGACCAGTGCTATGGTCAAGCTTCTCCAAGAGAATAAATGGACATGGGTTGGAGTGGTCACCACAGACGGAGATTATGGGCGGTCAGCTTTGGACAGCTTTTTGTCTCAGGCTTTTCAGGCTGGAATCTGTGTGGCCTTCAAAGAAATCCTCCCTGATTCTGTGACCAACACCAAGAGACTTCAATCTGCAGTCAGCCGGATTATTCAGACATTACACACCAACACCAAGGTCAGGGTGGTGGTTTCGTTTGCCAAACCCGAGCACATGAGTCGCCTCTTCAGAGGACTGCTGGACAAAGTCCAGAGGTGGGTACATCAGGTTCACCAGTGTTGGAGGGTCCAAAATGAAGTCATAAATTACATATTTTGCTTTTTTGTTGGGTTTTTTTTTATTTTTGAATGCAGCAAACTATCTAAAATTATTTTCCTGCAAACGTTACTTTAAATTTTATCAAAAATTTTATTAAAAAAATAGTAATTGTGCATGTGCAAAGCTTTGGACACCTTAGAATTTGGACACCTTAGAAATAAACTTTAGGTTAGGCCTTAATTGATTGCCTAATCAGACTATTTAGGCAGGTCAAAAATTGTCATTAGGAGCTGATGACAGTTCCAGAGTGTAATAAATCCTGACTCTAAATAATAAAACATCTAAATAAGCCAGAGTTACTTTGGAAACAAGTGCTGTGGACTGATGAAGTAAATATGGAACTCTAAGATCACAGAACATCTTAGAGATTGTTAAATGCTAAATTAAACTGTTGTTTAATTATTAAGTTAGAGATTTCAACTAAAACTGGGACCTAAGTCAAACTAAAAGAACAAAACACAGAGACTTACTTACTTAGAAAAAAAAATGGGGAAAGAGTCAGAAACAGAAACTCATTTAGGGAAGAACAACCACAATGCATGACAAAGGACAGGTTGGATCCAAGGGGTAGATATACACAGACAGAACGAGGAACAGCTGGGCATGATCACAAACAGCACTGTATATAAACTGAAACCAAGTGTGGGGTGTGGCAAGTGGGCAGAGCTAAACAAATGCACATGGCAGGTCTAAACAAAGGCACATGGCAATGAATGAAGATAAAGCATGAGGGCGAATCTGTTATGTCTTTTGGGTTGTGTGGCAGACGATAGCTCAGGAAACACTGTGACTGAGGTTCAAATCTCTGGATAGGCAGTAATGTTAGTGGATTTGGAGGCCTTTGGGAAAAACACTTAAACTCCTGGATTTACATGATTAGACTGTCTTGATAAGAATGATTGCAATATAATGTAAAATTAATATCCCTTAAATTAAATGTAAGTTTAATCCCTACTTTCCCCTTGAGCCCCTGTTCCTAAAATGTCTGAGCATGGTCCAGGATTGAAGATCAAACTTAAATATCAGGAAATTCTGCTAGCAAGTGTAATATAGTCCATGAAAAACTGATGGTGAAAAGAAGATGGTTTCCACATCATAACAATGATCCAAAACATACCTCAAAATACTCCATGAGCTACTTCCCAAAATGCAAGTTGAAGCATCTAGAATGGCCCTCATGGTCCCCTGACATGAACATCAATGAAAATCTGTGGGTAGCTATTAAACATGTCATGCATGCAAAATGTTATGTGTATATTATATTGTTGAAAAACGCTAAAACTACAAAGTACATAGACAACAGGGGATGGGCTGGCCAATTCCTGATAGGACATTATGTGAGTGTGGCGCTGAAGAGTGAGAAAGAGAGAAATGCATGTCGTTTCTAATACAGTCCTATTTAAAATTAATGGAGACCACCCGTAACAAACTGCATGTTCTAGGCGAATACTGGAGCGCACAAATCTGGACACATTAGTGGTCCACTGCATTCACAGTGTGTGGACACTGGTCAATCATACAAATGTCACCACCACCAGAACATAGCACAATGAACACAACCGGGAAAGTTAAACTATTAAGGTCAGCTGGAGAGAGATGCAGAGAAAAACCCCAAGACGCTTAAAAGGGAAGGGAGTGTGTGATTAAAAGCAGAAAGTTGCTTATACAAGATGCAAAGAAAGGAAGAAATTAACGTGGCTAAGTTTGCTAATAAGCAGTCACTCCAGTTCTCAGTCTCTTTTCACTACAGCATCTTTGACACGTTCATGCTTAAGTTCTTTGAAATTATGAGTCCACTTGCTGTAACTATGATAGCAGATTGAACCAAAATCTCTCGGAGCGCTGAGTTCACTGAAAGTCAGTCCACTCAACGATCATCTTGGCAATGCTGTTGGGTGGTTATTTCCAGTCATACAAGGCCAGACTCCTATCTCTTTAAATAGAGAGAGAGCTAATAAAACCAAACTAAAAGACACATTAACTTTTAAAAAAACATTTGAAATCACTGATAAAATCTGACAAAAACAGCATACATAGTTTGTGGGGTGTCACCCAAATAACATTTTTTTAGCTTGTTCTGGCTACACATGCACATACAAGGAGGAGTTCCTGCTTGCCACTCCAACAGCAAGCTGATTGGTATATTTCACCCAGTGTGAAATATAAAGCTGTTCAAAGCTGTGTTTGCTAGTCATGTACTGGCTAGCATTTTTGAGTTATGTTTAAAATTAATAAAATTTTAAAATTGTGACTATTGAAACAGACACTACTGAAACATTTGGTAGAGTTATTATTATCTTGGCATTGACAACTGGAATGTTTCAATAAATAAACATAATTAAGGTATAGGACCACTCAAAGCAAAAGGCTTTTATTCTGAAGTAAATGTCAGGAAAAGTCCCAAATCTGATTTTGATCCAATTTGGTGAAGGATCCATATCTTCTAAGACTTTTCAGAAATGTATACTATGATGTCCTTGAACAGTTAAATTTTGGACATTTTTTTAATGTAATTGAGTGAATGTAACTAATTACTACCCATCATTGACAGTGACACTGACCGGAGGCTGTGGGTGGCCAGCGACAATTGGTCAACTTCTCAAAAAGTGGTCACTCATGAGGAACTTCAGCGCATTGGCTGGGTCGTAGGATTTTCCTTTGAGAGCAGAGACGTCACACCTTTTAAGGAGTTTCTGAAGAATTTAGAGTTTGACAGTGAGTCTCAGAAGAACAACACCTTCCTCAAAGAGTTTTATTCCACTTTTACGAACAACAGCAAGGAGCAGGTTTCCATGATGATGGAAAAGCTGATAACCAGCATAGATGCAGGTAAGTGTGGCGATAATGGAAAATGATACTTGAAGGCATTTTTTAATGATGCACGGTATCAAGGCATTTAGTGTCACCTTTAAAAAGGCTACCATTAAATAAGCTGGGCTTTCTAGCATGTAGTCACAGCAGGCTTTAATCACTACATTTCTTAGTGCATAAAAAACAGAAAGTTTTCTTTCTGCAAACGAAATATTAGTTTGGGATGGATTTATTTACATATGGTGTTGAACCCCTAGATAGAGGACAATAAAAAGATGTGAAGCTCAGTGGGTGATCAGTGGGTCAGTGGGTCATCCCACTACATTTTATACAGGATTTTACAGTGGTATGCAGCAAAAAAAAAAACAAAGTAAAAATAGCATGTAAGTAGTGTGCACCCAATATAAAAGACTACAGGAATGGGTAAGCTTTGGCTCTATCATCAGGAGATCGCAAGTTTGACCCCCAGCACTGCCAACCATCCTTTAGTGGGAGTTCAATTGGCCTTGCTCTCAAGATATCGGTAAAGCGCAGTATATTGATTCATTTCAGCCAGTCAGCTTACTGGCAAGGAAGATACCTAGCTAATTAATATAATCAGCTGCTGTAGCATGACATAAATTTCCAAAAAGTCTATTAAATTGCTGTCGGATGAAATTTTCAAACTTTCCAAAAAGTCTATTAAATTGTTAATCGTGGTCATTATAATGGTTCCAGCTGTCTCTCAAGCAGGTGGAAAATGAACTAGAACTAGAACCATAAGTTCAGTTGGTTCATGTTTGAGTCTGTTCTTATTTTTGAATGTGCAGTGGGACAACAACCTTATAGACTGAATATTTCTTTCTTAAACCCTGCAGTTATATGGGGCTGGTGCAAGTTCATGATTATATGGCAAATAATAACCACACAATTATTTATTTGTTCAACATTATTGTTATTGACCTGGGACGATGAGTTTTAAAAAGTTGTTTTTCCAGTTGGCTAAATGTCTCATGATTATTACAAAATCCTATTGTACCAGTGCAGCACACCTGCATTATCCACCGAGAAGTGAGTTCTTTGTTGCTGTGACATAACGCTGATTTCTCCTATAGCAATAACATGTCACATGCCCACTCTGACACGCAGGTAATGTCTTCAGCATTCAGATGGCTGTGAATGCGATTGCTCAGGCTGTGGCTAAATTGTGCAGCAACAGAAACTGCACTATTCCTGGGGCCATCCAACCATGGGAGGTAAACTTATTATCTGTATGAACATATACATGCTACAGCTTCTCCCTTTAGTTCTCATGTACTAAGTGCTGGCTGTACCTAATAAGCAACATAAGCAGCTGCTTAGAGCCCCCTAACAACTTCTGGGTTTTTATTGTACTATTATGTTGTGTAAGATGCTTGACTGAGGGGGGAGACGAAGCAACTGGTTAATCATATTTGAAAAAAGACTGTACACATCTGGAGCTGAAAAACTGCTGAAAAAAAAAAAACTTAAAAAAAGACAAAGGAATGTTTACTATGCTTGTGGTGTTAACGTAATTTCATTTGTTGTGACTTGAATTTTGATAGTTTTGTGGAGCCAGACTTTATCTCGTACCAAGAATTTGGGCCAAATGTGATTAGAAATGCAGACCTACTAGGGTGGGAACAAACCCTAGAGTGAAATTTCTAAACCAATCCATGGCCTCTTGAAAGGAGAGCTCCAAGTAAGTTGCGATGGGGCACAACAGCCGCCAAACAAGTCAAGACATCTCTTTTCTCTTGAGTTAGCGTCTTCAAAAGTGGTTTAGTTGAATCGATTTTGTGCATCTTCGACTAAATCGAAGGGTGTTTCTGAAACATTAACTTTCAAGAATGAACATGAGTTAACAATAGCGTTTTACTAGCTAGCTTGTTTCACTTCTCTTTCATGTTACATTAAACGGTTTTAGATGGCATGTAAACTTATTTGCAGCAGATTTTGTCTCAGTCCAGCACCAAAATTTTAGCTGTCCCCAAACATGGTGCAAGATCACATCTGGTTGTACTGGACTAGTTGGAAAACAAGAGCAGGGTTAAGTGATAACAGAATACCCTTTGAGTCTGGTATAAAGTGCTTAAATCACTTATAATATCATTTAGCTTCCCAACTCCAAACAGGAAAAAGCGGATCTGGGGTCTAACGAAGCAGGTTCACCTTATACAGTCTTTCTGACTGAATTTCAACTTCACAACAACTTTAATCCAGGTTTAGATACTCAGGTGCACATGAAAGCATGATGTTTGTGGCGAACAGCCCAATTGTTTGAAACAAGAAGAGGAGTCGCCACCAAAGAAAGAAAAAGAAATCATACTATCTAAATACATAAAAAATAAAGCATTTATAACGCTAATCATGGAACAGTGTCACCACAGCAACGACTATGCTTAAAGTTAGCTGGCTAAGCAAGAAATACTGGTGAGAAAGGTTACAATCTGGATGAAGAACGATGAGATCAGCAACTGTAATTTGAATTGTATCCTGTTAGAACTAAAAACAAGCATCCAATCACCAACAATACACAACTTAGAAAGTTATGAATGTACATAATTTAGACAGCTTGTGATAGTAATTTTATTAGTTAGCCTCTTATTTTAGAGCACATCAGCTAGCAAAATAGAGAACCTCCAAAAAAATCATGCTGAGGCCTCCAAAAGTCTTGAGCCAGCATTTTTGCAAGTCAAATCAGATGTACTCCAGTCAGATATATTGGCCTTCTACACAATAGGGCCAAATTCAAACTCATCTTACCTCACTTGAGTGGCTCGAATGCATTAACAAGAACATTCATTCCACAAATTAACTTTTAATAAGGCACACATAGTGATTAAGATGTTGTAATTATAGGGGTTTCCTATTTTTACAATTTTTCTACATTTTGTTTTGGAAATTAATTCACACTTAGAAATCAACGTCACTGAACTTATGCTTTAATGTCAAGCATTTTAACATAAGCGTTTAAAGTGTCTAGGAATTTCACCGATTTTCAAACACTTCTGCATAATTCAGTTGTCGAAATGTAAACATAGTTTGATGTGAAATAGGTAATTGTAGAGATACCTACTGATTTATTTATAGTGGTGGAGATAGGAACCAGAATTGTGATATTTACAACACAAATGTAACCTTTTTATTTACTATCCAAAATCACTAGTGAACCTACGCACATCTGCTTAGTTTATAAGTAATGCTGATAATGGTAAACCAGTTGTGAATGGTAAAATAAATGATTACACAAACAACAAAAACGTTTTCTTTGGGTACTACTTTGCCTTACAGTACCGTGCATGCACCTCTCCACTATTAATATATTTAATAAAAGGTTTTAGGCCAAAAATAATCTCAAAACAATCAACAGCATTTTCAGAACCATTTTGTGCAATCATTTTTGTGGGGGAGTTTTTAGATGCATTAAACTCTTTAGACATCTGGTTCCTATCACCACAGCTGTGAACAATTCTGACACAATATTTCACATCAAATCACTCTGAATGACTTTATTTACACCTTAAATATTTAATTATGGAGAAAGTTTGAAAAATTGGTGGAATTCCCCTTTAAAATAATGCTTGCAGGTGGTTACAAACTTTTAGTGTTGTGCTTCATATCAACTGTAAGCATACCATAGCTATCCAAAGCTACTCTAAACATACTTATCCTCACAGTACCACGCCACACAAGCTATAAAATTCTCTCTTCACTCATGCTCATTGATGGCAATATCTGTCTGTGTTCCAGCTGCTGCCTGAACTGAGGAACAGCACTTATGAGATGGATGGTACAATATACAAGTTTGATGAAAACGGAGATGTTAATCTGGGTTATCAGATCTCTCTGTGGAGCACAACTGGACAAAGCGTTCAGACGTTAAACATAGTGTCTATGTATCATCAGCAGAACTCCAGCTTGACCACCACCAACCTAAAACTAGTAAGTATCACCACTGTCCACTGTCTGTCGCAGTTTTGCAAAGGAAGCCTGTAATTAAGTATCTAGTATGAAACTAAAACACAATGATAATGATGGTGAAATTCTACATCAGTAAAAATGCAAATAAGATTGATAGAGTGGAATTTGAAGAATTAACCCTTTTAAGGACCAGATACACTAAGGCGTATGGAAAAGCTGCAGCGAGTGCTAAAATTCAGTGACAGCAGATAGACACGAAACCTGTGTATTGGTTTTCTTTTTTTAGATTGAATCATGATCATTTAAACTACCAATAGAGTAAGAATTGGTAAATAAATAAATAAATAAATAAATAAATCTTATTGATAAAAAAATGAATAAATAAAATTAAAGTAAAAACTGAAAAATGTACAAGGATGTATAGCAGTAAATACATTTCAAAAACTAAAGTACATTTTAAATAAACAAATAAATAAATAAATACTAGGCCATTTTATGTGCCAAAGTTCGGGCACCTTTGGTGAAATTACATGTTTTGTTGATTTTTTTAAGTGAAAATAAGTTAATACATCCTCTACAGGGAACACACTTCTGCACATTTTAACACTTAATTGATTTTATTTTCTGAATTTATTACATTGAAAAAAAATTAAACTTGTGCAAAAGTTATGGTGCATTAATATGTTATGTTTTATTTTTTCCAATACGTTAAACCCAACAAATAAATTGAAATTGAGCACTGGAATTTGCAGAAAAATGCTATGCCAATGAGTTCTCTATAGAGCAGGCATGTCAAACAGGAGAACTTCAGGACCAAAGTGCTGTGGAGATTAACGTTTACCCTCATCTAACCCTCTGAATTCAGTTCATGAAGGCCTTGCTAATTAGCTGAGGAGCTGAATCAGGTGTACTTAATGAGGGAGGGTGCTGAAGTCTGCAGTGTTTTGGCCTGCAAGGACTGGAGTCTGACACATGTGCTGTCATTTTATTGTCACTTCAACAAAACATGTCAGTTGAGCAGAGGTGTTCAAAGTTTGCATATGCTCCCATACTCTTTTACCATATGGGAAGAGCTAAAAACAAGGACAATGATAAAAGAACTGAGGTCAATAGAGGAAACTCTAAGAATCTTGTAAGAAACAAAAAGGGAAGCTTGCTTTTAATAGCAACTCTGAACGAGAGTGACAGTCTGTTAATCAGCTGTTTACACAAAATGCATTAGTGCTACTGCAAAGTGTAGTAAATATGCCCGTAAGGGTCTGTATGAGGGTCTAAACTTAAATTCCTCACTCCCATAACTACTGAACATACGCATTAGTACACATTAGCACCTACTGAAAAAGTTTAAGGTATTTAATCCTTTCATTAACCCTTTTATTTTGTAGTTATTCATCTCACAGTGTAAAGTAAGTAAAGTAAAAAGCCCATGGTCATCCCTGACTTTAAATTTGTTTTGACTCAGAGCGTGACATCAAAGTGCTCAAATAGCTGCAACCCAGGACAATTTAAGAAAAGTGCTGAAGGTCAGCACACCTGCTGCTATGACTGTATTGAATGTGCTGAGAATCAATACTCCAACAGCACAGGTAAGTCCACACCTGCAAAACATCTGGAGCACAGCCACTTATTCAACAACACAAATTCAACAACACACTCTCAGAAAAAAAGTATTAAACTGTCACTGAGCGGTACCCCTCTTGGCCCTGGGTTGGCGCCCTCAAGGGTACATCTTCCGTACATTTATTTAGGGAACATAAATTTAGGGGCCTTTTAATGCATTGCTCTGTTTAAAAACATCAGGTTATGAAAAAGTACAAATATGTACATTTACTCAAGGAAAAACGTATTTAAGGCACAATGTTGGAACTTAAAACCATTAAGGGTACATCTATATTGTTTGTATATTCATGAAAAAAATATATATACCTGCACAGTACCTTTTTTCTGCCAATGTACCAGTTAAACATTTGAGCACACCAACTCATAGAACATTGTTGTTGTTTATTTACTTTTTACTATTTTCAACAGTTTAGAATAATAGTATGATGGCCTCACAACCATATAGTACACTCCCCCAGTCAGAAGTCAAGTCAAGTTTATTTATATAGGGCTTTTTACAACAGACATTGTCACAAAAAGCTTTATAGAAAATCCTTGTCTGAGCACCAATGAGCAAGCCAAGGAACCAAGATTCAAAAGGGGAACCTATCCTCCTTTGGTCGACTAGCTAGAAAAACAATAACACAACAAGAGCAATATGAATACAGAATAAGATTTTAGAATTACTATAAAATATTCAATATACACTTGTGAGTGGTACTGTTTATCAGCCTTTTAAGTTCAATTTGACTTTTAACAATTTAACTGATTTTTAAATTTTCTTGTAAATATTAATACGCAATTCACATTTACTCAATTCGAAATAGATTAATGTATGATATATGCATTGTAGAGAAACTTAATAACTTTCTGTTTATATACAAATACAGCCATTTTATTTACCATTCAAAATCACCAAACAGCATGTTTTTACCATCCAAAATGGCCCAACAACATAATTTTATATGCAATGTAAATAATTAAAAAATTCTGGTAGATCTGAAAAAATATTGCCTTATAGTGACCATGAATGTGTTTTTAAAAAATACATTTTAGGCCTCATAACTACTGTAAAACAATGTCTCAAGGCAGATTACTTGAAACCATTTCAGAACTTTCAAAAGCATTAAATATCTTTTGACATCTGGTTCATATCACTGTCACTGTGACTCTTTTTAATTTGGTAAGTTTCTCCAGAATTTAGCATTTTGCAGTTACTCTTTGACAAACTACACCCAAAAATGAGATTTTCTAGCCCATTTATGTATGTAAATTAGGATGTTACATCTGTTGTTTTTCTTCCCTCCTTTGTTTTTATTTATTTATTTAATATCTTTGTTTACTACTCCTTATTTAACCAATACATTCTTTTTTTCAGACATGGATCAGTGCTACAGTTGTGACAGTATTTTGGAGTGGGCAGAGCCTGGAAGTTCGGCCTGTAAGCCGAAGACTCTGGAGTTTTTTGCCTGGAATGATGGCTTTGCCATGTTTCTGTTGTCTCTGGACGCTCTGGGTGTTGTTGTGGTTTTCCTAGTGTCGTTTCTCTTCCTGTGGCACCGCGACTCTCCTGTAGTGAAGGCAGCTGGTGGTCCACTTTGCCAGCTCATCCTTTTCTCACTAGTGGGAAGCTTCATAAGCTCTGTTTTCTTCGTAGGGAAGCCAACGGACATCCAGTGCAAAGTGAGGCAGGTGCTTTACGGTTTGAGCTTCACTCTGTGTGTGTCCTGTATCCTGGTGAAGTCCCTGAAGATCCTGCTAGCTTTCCAGATGAAGCCGCTTAGCCGACTTTACAAACCATACATTATTGTCTGTTTCTGTGTTTTGGTGCAAGGTGCAAACTGTACTTGGTGGCTGATTCTTTTCAGTCCTCACAAAACCTCCGTAATCAACACCAGTACCATCCTAGAAGAGTGCCGTGAAGGCTCATATGTAGCGTTTGGCTCAGTTTTGGGTTACATAGCTCTGCTGGCGTTAGTCTGCTTCATCTTTGCTTTCAAAGGCCGAAAACTTCCGCAGAAATACAACGAGGCCAAGTTCATCACTTTCGGCATGCTCGTCTACCTCATGGCCTGGGTCATCTTCATCCCAGTCTACGTCACGACTGCCGGAAAATATCTCCCTGCCGTGGAGATGGTGGTCATACTCATCTCCAATTACGCCATCCTGTGCTGCCATTTCTTCCCAAAGTGCTACGCCATCATCTTCAGGAAGATGTACAACACCAGGGCTGATTTCTTGAGGAATGTGTACGAGTATTCTACAAAGGGAGCCAGCAGTTTGGGAGACTTGATTCTACCTGAAGCATATAAGAGTGCAGAAAACCTCTACACTATATCAAAACTGCCCCACCTTTTTCCTGGAAACACAGAGTTTAAACAGAGATGGGAAGCTACAGCCCCTCCTGCCATAACTCAAGAAAAGCCCAGGCTCAGTCTCAAAAGAACATTAAGCATTTAAAAACCTCAGAGACTTAGTCATCATACACTGTCCATCAAAACTTTGAAATACCTACCTTGTTTTTGCATGAGATTTACACAGTTTACCACTTGATGTGTTTCATCAAGACATGTTTGGTGATCAAATGTTGCTTTTTTAGTGTAGTACTGAAGCTGTGAGGCTAACATTGCTAACAAACACTAGAATGTATAGTCAATAGTCACCCAAATCTTTTCTCTGCCTTCTTTCTTTTTGTAAATAATATACTGTAAATAATGAATTTTTTTTATAAAATAAAACAACAGAATTGTCATACTGTGTCCTAAACCACAATAATAAATCAGCACTACCTTAACAAAGACCTGGGTGAAGTTTAAGCAAGTTTTGGAGAAGTTTGTATGGAAAAGATTTGGGTGACTATTGAATTCTAATGCTTGTTGGCAAAGTAAGCCTCATAGCTCCAGTGCTGAACTAAAGCAGCAAAATTTAGACACCAAACATGTCTTGGTTGGCTGACTAAATTGGAGGGAAGTGGAAAATTGTGTAAATGAGTGGAAAGACACTGATGAACGTAAAGTTAACAATACTCATAAATTAGCAAATACAGTGTATGTTCTGTTTTTAATGTCTAAACATTACTATGTTATTATATTATTGTGTATTGTATCATATATTGTACATTTCATATTGAAATTCTGATCAGCCATCTGAACCATGATCCAGAGACTGTAATTGTAACGTACATATGCATTATATCTTACAATTTTTAGTGAAGCTTCAGAAACTAAAACTAAGCACTTCGCATATATCTCCTCTCCACTTAATCAGAACCCCTGCCTTGTAGCTGGTGTAGATTTAGAGACACAGATTGTGCAGCAGGAGTCTGTAACTGTGCAAACAAATATTAATGTTCATAAATTTGAATCCGCCTCACAGCAAGAATGGCCTGGGTTCGATTCCCGGCCGGGCGACCAGGGTCATTTCTGTGTGGAGTTTGCATGTTCTCCCCGTGTCTGCGTGGGTTTCCTCCGGGTACTCCGGTTTCCTCCCACAGTCCAAAGACATGCAGTCAGGCTGATTGGACACGCTAAATTGCCCCTAGGTGTGAGTGTGTGTGTGAATGTGTAAGTCTGTCTGTCTTCCCTGCGATGGACTGGCGACCTGTCCAGGGTGTATCCTGCCTTCCGCCCAATGACAGCTGGGATAAGCTCCAGCACCCCACTGCGACCCAGAAGGATAAGCGGTTTAGATGTTGTATGTATGTATGTATGTATAAATTTGAATCTCTTCCAAACATATTAGAATGTTTCTGCAAATACAAGCCCTTTTAAGTGTTCAAAGATTTAGACAATGCGCCTCAGCAAAAATTAATTGATGTTTATAATGCAAACAATATGTTTTTAAATTATCATTAAATCTTTATTTACAATCAATATGAGTCCCACTCATGATTTAGTTCTGCCACTAGGCCTGGTTACATTAGCTTTGGCTGACAACTTCCAATACACTTGAATTTAGCATAAATGAAATAGCTATAATAGCTAGAATAACTGGATTTCACAATTTTTAACACTCATTTTTACAGTAAAATACTGTGTTCATCATTTTACTCTGAAACCAATTCTTCTTAGGATATATTCTATAATAATACAGCATTACTGTAAGGCTTACGTTGAACTGTACCATGCAGCATTATGGGAAATAGTAACGGAGTTAAAAAGACATTTTGTTAAATTTTAACAGAACATTTAATAAAAATATATTCTGATAATTTTAGGTTTAGATGTTTGAAAGACTATTACAAATTTTACTTTTTTAATACAAATCATAAATATAATTTTTTTTGTATGTGTATTGTATTATGTTGTAAAAATGTATTGTTTATGCATGTTGCCAGATGTTTTGGTCAAAAAAGAAAATTATGGTCAAAAAAGAAAATTATAACCAAAATTAAACATATACAAAGCAAAACATGGTGAATACATATGTACATTGGTTTTGACTACATTTTAGTTTATCTTTGACTTTATTTTTTGGTGAATTACTGACTACTGAGTTACTCAATTACTTTTACAGATACTATGTAAAAATATAGGAGATTCCTGTATTTTATGAATTATTACTGTAAGTGCACAGCAGAATACAATTACTGTAATCACTGTAATGTGTTCTATCTAACTGTCACAGTATAAAGTTGCTGTCTTGCTGTTCTTTACTGTTAATATGCAACTAGTAGCTAGAAATTTACTGTAATTTTACACTGACATTTTTACAGTGTAGATTTGTTTGGCTTTGAAAAAAACTGTTTTTTCGAAAAAACAAAACAAAAAAAAAAACGTTTGGTCAGTGTCTTGGTAAGGACATGTAATTGTTGGAAAAATTGGATCAGACTATTGCAGTTCAACAACAATATATATTTAAATATGTTTTGATTTAATGTTTATCCAGTGCAGTTTGATTGCATTTTGAAATGCAATAACTTTTTTCATGCATTTGAAGATCGAAATCACAGGTGTGGGACATGAACAAAACTGGTATTTTGACCTGAAATACACTTCACAAATTACATAAGCTCGTTACATGTAGCAACAATTTTGTTTGTGAATGTGTGTTATGACACTAATAAAACACTTTCTATGCTTTCTATACATCTTCAACATATATCCTAAAATCTACTGCGGGACTTACTGTAGCTGCAGAAGCACCCATAATGATTACATTTCTATAGACCTTATTTCATAAGTCACTTAAGTTATGTACAGCTGTGGCTACATCTTCATTTTTTTATAGCTGAAACCTGTAATACTGTAAAGTAGAGCATTCTCATAATCATTACACATATCTGCAAACAAATTGGTTTCATATTGTTGAAAAATGTGATTATTTTGAATGATGACTTAGATAAGGGTTTTCAAATAAAGTGGGTGTTCAGTGTATTCTTGAAGCTTCGCTGTGTATATAGCTCATCCTTATTTGTCTTTCTGTTTCTCTCTGTCATTCTTAATGTATGAATTACACAGGCACTGAAACATTCTCTTGGCTTCAGGTCAAACATATTTGAGACAGAAGAATAAAGACACACACACAGTGCCAGCAGTGTTCTTCTAAACAATGACACAAATAGACACACACATTGAACGTCATTGTGTGTTCTCTCTCTTCTTGGCCTTAGTTTTCTTCACTCAAAATCGGTCAAGATTTTAAAACAGACCTAAGAAACATTGGGCACTAATATGGAATTGGCCCTACATTTGCAGCCAGTACAATCTCCACTCTTCTGGGAAGGCTTTCCACAAGATTATGGAGTCTGTCTGTAGGAATTTGTAACGATTCAGTCTAATATCCGTTTGTGAGGTCAGGTACTGATGTTGGATAATAAGGTCTGGCTAACAATCAATGTTCCAATTTATCCCAAAGGTGATGTGCATAGTGATTTCAGGCTTGTGTGTTCGCCTATGGAAACCCATTTCATGAAGTTCCCAACACACAGTTCTTGTGCTGATGTTGCTTCAAGAGTCGTTCGTAACTCTGTAGTGAGTGATGCAGCAGAGGATAGGCAATTTTGGTCTCTTCGTGGCTGAGCTGTTGTCGCTCCTAAATGCTTCCAGTTCATAATAACAGCACTTAAAGTTGAGCAGGTCAGATGTAGAAAGGCAGAAATTTCACAAGCTGACTGAAAACATTCTAAAAAATGTTGGGACAGGAGCATGTTTAGCATTGTGTTACATCAACTTACCTTTTAACAGGCACTTATAATCGTTTGGGGACTGAAGTCAACTGTGCAGCCACACAAGATCTTCATTGTCCTGTTTTGCACTTCATAATATGCTACGTTTTTATTGGGAGACAGGTCTGGACTGCAGGCAGGTCAGTCTAACACCCACATTCTTGGATTTGGCAGCCATGCTGTTGTAACACATGTAACATTTGGTTTGCTGTTGTAATAGAGAAATAAGCATGGAAGTCCCTGAAAAAGGCAGTGTCTAAATGGAAGTATATTTTGCTCTAAAATGTGTGTGTATTTTTCACTGTTGATGGTGTTTTCACAGATGTACAGGTTACCCATGCCATGGGCACTAATATACTCCCATACCACAACAGAACTTGGCTTTTGAACTTTATACTGGTAACCATGTGGATGGTCCTCCGCTTCTTTGACCAACAGAACACCATGTCCATTAAAGCATGCTTTATGCTTTCTGATTCATTTGCATGTCATAGATGGTCCCAACGTTTTTATCAAAAGTTTAAGAACATCAAACTTTACGATTGTTATGATACAAATGAGCATGTTTTGTTGGTTTACCGTTACTTACCATATTAAAGTCTAAGTAGGTTTATTTAAAGGAAAATAATGACATGTGCCAGTATTATTGACAGTGACTTGGGAATAATGTGAAAGACACATGTACGCATGTTAACCCCTTGTTGTGATGTCAGCATTCAACAGTACTCTTTCAGCTGTTCGAACTATGTTGAGCCAAAAGAGTTTGGGTAGCACTTTATTTTATGGTGTGCTTAGTACATAGTATTTAAAAGGTAAATACATAGCATTTACAAAAAAAGATAAAACAAAAGAAAAACAGTTTTCAAGTACATATTTTGCAAGTACATGCCAGTACATCAGTTTACTAAGGACTCTAATTGTAGAGGGCAGGAGAGGGAGAGATTGATTAGTACAATACATTTCCATTTTTGCTTTAATTTTGTGTATGTTTTTGCTTCATTCATTCATAGTTCATACAACATAGACACCACTTATCGTTGCTGTGCTTTAACCTAGATCAATTCCATAACATTATGTATGGATATGAACACTGTATTGTTATGAACACTGTTTATGGTCATGGGCACTATATGTGTGTATGAATACTGTGTAGTGTTATGCTCTGCATGCCACAAAGACAAGAAATCTAATAATTATTGTATAATTCCTATGCACAAAGTTCCACCATATTTTACAGTCCAGTTTCCATCGTATTACAGGACATTTGCCAGTATGTACCTTGTAGTATGTTAATTTTTTGGATATCATGAAAATAAAATAATAGGTAGTTACTGTGTAAATACTAAGTATACTTTATTTTACAGTCCTGTTACCACAGTATTACAGAGAACTTAAATGTATCAAGTAATGTACCAAGTA